ACCAGCATTTGGAGCTGTCAAGATTTCATGACGCTAGTTCACAAACATACTTGTGTGCATGCATTCTGGCAAGCATGCACATGTATACATGTATATATACGCACGCACACACGCACACACAGACAGCAAGGTAGATATGCGTGAAGATGAACACTTATGAGAAAAAAAAATTATGAGGAACAAGACAGTTAGCCTATATACACTTTACTCCTTTGTTTACCCTTATACTGCTACCTAGGAATTTGTTTCATATGGATAAAATGTAACAAGGAGGTAAAACCGAGATTCTGTTGAGCTGCATCTTAGCTGCATCTGGGGATGCCTCTTAGATTAAATGTGTGTCTAGGGGATAGTCACACACGGGTAAATGTAGCATGGGAGCCTTTTATAAGCACTCTTGCCTATCCCCAGATTTAAGAAAACAAAACAAAACAGCACTTTATAGTCTACCTTAAGCGGAAGAGCAAGGAAACAAATCCTCTTATTCTGAACATCAACGCACAAAACTATACCCAGTACTTTTAAAGGGTGTCAAGGACGAGAATAAGGTTTTCAATCTTATAACAAAGGTTTCATATACAGTACATTTAATTAAGTACAGACCAAAATGAAAGCATAATAAACTTGTCCTCAAAAACTATACACTGGAATGCACAAAGCAACTTCCTTTTAATCAGTATGGCTTTCTCTTCTAACAGCTGTTGTAAGTAAACTGACAAAAACTAAAAGTCAATATTCCTCCTCATCAATGTTCACACCAGATCCCAAAGAGATACATTTAATACCTCTGTAGACAGCTCTCTATGTAAGGTTAACAGAGTATCTGAAACATAGCCAAGTCATAGAAAAAAATCTTTAGCTGACTGATTAGAAGGAAGAGATGGAGTTGCTGCTTTCAAAAAGATCCCAGTCTAGGGACGGAGGCTATGCAACCAGTAATAAAATCTTATATATACTCATATATACATAAGAATCAGTGACTAGGACTCTGTAGGCAAGCCCACACATAAGCAATCGGAAACTATTGAGAAAAAAACTTAATCAAACATTCCCTACCGCAACATATATCACCAGTATCTAGGACTATACACCAACATGGCAATGTTGTTGTTATTGTTGCTATGTGCCATCGAGTCGGACCAGACTCATAGCGATCCCTCCTTGGGTTTCCGAGGCAGTATCACTACGGAAGTAGATTGCCCCATCTTCCTTCCGAGGAGTGGCTGGTGGGTTTGAACTGCCAGGCTTCTGGTTAGCAGTCAAGTGCCTTAGCCACTATGCTACCAGGCAATACATTCCTAAATTCAAAACTCAATACATTCCTAAATTCAAAACTCTTTGAGTACTTAGTAGGTCAGTTTCCAGTTATGGACTGAAGAAAAACCAGTTGTGAGCTAGGTGAAGAGTGAATTGTATTATTATTATATTATTTATTATAGCCTATGCCCTATGTAAAGTACAGAGCATCTAGGCAGGTCTCCCTTATTATTGCCATATAGAAATCAGGACACAGTATTTTTTCAAGAGAAACTGAAATTTTGATTTTGTCAACTCTTCTAATTTTTAAAGGGAACCGACTTTTGATAATTTTTAAAAAATTGTACAAGGCCAACAAGGTTCATTTAACAAGGCAAACAATTTGCCACCTTGGGTTTAGGGGTTAAAATTTTTAGGTTACATATATGAGACTTGAGGTAAGAGAGAGAACCACAAAATACATTTGGCCTGGTTGGTGTGGAGGATTTAGAATAGGAATGTAGTAGACTACAAGCACAGATGGGTAGAAGGACAAAGCAAACTACTATTGTTCTTTGAAATCAAGGCTGCAAATCCAAAATAAGAAAAAAACAAGGACACTGAACTTCTCAAGAACCCTCAAAAAAGTTTGCTAAATGCAACATTCATGAGTTGAGGGTCACACATATCAAACTGAGAAGCCAAAGAATAGTTCTATTAAGACAATCTCAATAGGCAGGAATTTTTGTATTTTAGTTTAGTTTAGTTTCTTCAGTGTGTCCCCCGCTTCCCTCCCACCCCTGGTAACCAACAAAGAAAGTTTCATTCAATGGGCAGGAATTTTTAAAGAAGATTAAAGTAGGAGAAAAGGTTACAGGCAAAGCAGCTAGTAGTATTCAAGAGACTAACTCACAGAATGGTTAAGATGAATCTAGACGAAGATTTTAGCAGTAACAAGTAACAGAAGATGCAGAAAACAAGCAAAAAAGATTCCGCAACTAAAAATATGAAAAAGAAAAAGAGCTAAGACTGTAAGTAATTTAATCTGAGCCACATTTACATACTATATTTTCTTACTTCTAATATGATCATTTTAATGTCTCTGAAATTGAGGTCATGGTTAGAAATCAATGTTATTTCTCCACCAAGCCCTCCTCAAAAAATGTTCTAGAAACCAACAATGACTCTGACATCTTAAGTCATCTTAACTCTTAATAACATTTCTGAATCATGGACATGTGAAATATGTAACAGTTAGTTCTCTTTCCTATACAATGAAAAATAAATGAGGGAGTAGGGCCACAGCAGATTTAGAAGTAGCCTATAGGTAGATAATGCCAATGAAAAATTATGAGACCTCTAAAGGAAAAGGAAGAAAAATAGGATAGGAACACTTGACCAACCCTAGAATGAATGCAGATAGGATGCAGCCAGAAAAAGGGGGGAAAAAAAACCCATAACCACAGCCTCACAAAATTAGAGAGTCTAGTCAAGAAGAAAATACAGTACACAGCTGTCAGGCAGAAAGTTAGCAGGGCGAACACCAAAGTAAATATATTTTAAAAGGTTATCTGAATCTAGAACTTTGCTACCACTAGACCACTACCCAAACACCTAGGAGCTCTGGTAGCGTAGTGCCTAAAGGCACTTGACTGCTAACCAGAAGGCTGGTGGTTCAAAGCCACCAGCCACTCCTCGGAAGGAAGATGGGGCAATTTACTTCCATATTGATACTGCCTCGGAAACCCAAGGAGGGGTCACTATGAGTCACGTCCGACTCAACAGCACGTAACAACAACAACCCAAACACCTATCCATGGCCAGTCTTTTCAGGCCTTTGGTCCTAAGAAATTCTGTGTAGAAGTACAAATCCCTGACCAGTGTGAGTGAAAACAACTCAAAAGTATCTGTAACATAACTTTCCCATACCAGAAGGTAATATTTAGGTACTATGTAAAGAGAGACTATAAATTTACAGTGACAGCTGTGACAACTGGTCCTAGTGAAGGTATGAGAAGAGGGTGTTTGGGGAGACAGCTACAATTGAAGAATAGGGAATAATATTTCTTTATAATCTTAATTTTTAAAAATTATTAAATTAAATAATGCTCTCTTGTAACTCTAGTTTACCCTACTCTACTACTTAGTTAACAAACACAGACTAATAAAGCATGAGAAGCACACCACTCATTAGGAGATTATCTACATGGCAACCTCAAGTACTAGTTTTGCAGTCAAAACTCCTAACCTAAAGCTCATTCCCTCGTACAGAACCAGTTCTAAGACATTTCTCACTCTTCAACAACTGATAATAGCCTCAGTTATCTATCTGGTTTCATAAAAGACTAGAAGCAGCAAATAATATTGGGGGGGGGGGGCACAGCAGCACACCAATAAGCTGTAATTGTCTCAACGTAACCCAACAAGAACAACATAAACAGCAAGGTATACTCGATATCATTAAATGACTGCTAACATAGAAGAGAGAAAATGTGCTATTAAAAAAAAAAAAAAAAAAAAACAAACCCAGAGTCAAGAACTTCAAATATAGCCACCTGGAAGCATTAAATGAAAGAGGCAAATCATTCTACATCTCTCAATAATCCTAAGACTTCACCAAGCAAAAATAGCTAATTATAAGATGATTTTAAGTGCTCAAAAAAAGGTTTTGAACACTGTCCACTAAGATGGATATATAATTTATTTAAGATGATTTTAAAAAAATACCTTTTCAATAAAATACTATTTTGGTATTTAAAAAAATAAGCTGCTTTCACCTGGAAATGTCACATAAAAGTGTAAGTGAATAACTTGAAAACAAAGTCACATATTTTAAATACCAAAACTAAAAGTACAGACAATAGGTTCTGGCATTGCAAAATATGGGCAGTGGTAGAAAAAGTGATCCAAAAACATTAAACAAAAATCTTTGGGTAAGATGTCTGCATAGGAATCTTAAAAAAGGTGGGGAGGGGAAGAACACTGAAGGGTAGGTAGTAAGCACTAGGTCTGAGTCTCAGATTTGTTGGTGGTACTATCTCCATGATCCTGTTCAATTTATTCTGTCAGAGTCTCAGTCTCTTCACCTGTAAAATGCAGATACCAACACCACTTACAGGGTTATGCCCATTTGCCATCAAGTCGATACTGAGTCACAGCAACCTTATAGGATAGAGCAGAAATGTCCCCAAAGGTTTCCCAAGGTTATAATCTTACAGAAGCAGACTGCCACATCATTCTCTTACAGAGTGGCTGGTGGGTTCCAACAGCGACCTTTCTGTAAGCAGCTGAGCATTTACTCACTGTACCACTAGGGTTCCTTCAGTAAAGATTACAGCCTTGGAAACCCTATGGGCCAGTACTACTCTGTCCTATAGGGTCACTATGACTCAGAAACTACTCAGTGGCAGTGGGTTTGGTTTTGGGAAGTATTTTAAAAAGGTAATTATTTATCCAGAGAAGATGGGAACGAGTGGTAAAGAGAAAGTCAGATGTTCTTAAATACATCTTAGTACTTTAAAAAAAGAAAAATATGTGTAGCTAATCAGCAAGCTTAAAATGAAAACAGCTTAAAAATAACTGAAATGAATCTCATTTTCCCTCTGTACCCAAAGAGTGGATCATTATATTTAGGTGCAAATTTCAAGTAATTGTATCTTACAAAATGGATTTTAGTTTCTTTAACATTATCAAACCTCGTTATATGTGTCTACCTTTAAATAAAAAGGAAGTGAGAAAACACTCACCTTGACAGAAAGTCTTCATTATCTGTGCTTGTCTGAGGACTTATGAGTAGATGACAAATTAAGGGAAAACAACTTTTGGGGGTGGGGCGGGGACAGTATCTCAACGTTTAGTCCCATCCCTCAGCTTGCAGGCCTAACTGGCTCTGACCAGCCTGGTAGCCCCAAACTCTACCAGTTCTGCAGCATTATTTTGCCCTTCTATTCCCCATGCCTTTGGCCCAAGGGACTCTCTATTCCCCTTTTTCCTCTCAGTGATAATACAGTCAGAAGGATTCTAAATCCTATGGTAGCCTTAGTCACCCTGTCATAGAAGTAAAACTAAGCACATTTCCAGATTTCCTACATTTATACTAGAGAAACCACTTAAAAGCTAATAAGCATTTAAGCCACACGAGTACAATTCTAAAGCATGATCAGTACACCAAAGCTTTCTATTACATTGGCTGAAAAAAATTACAGTAAAAAAGGATATTGTTTCTTCTCTTCCTTTCCTCCTGAACTGTCCCGTTTTTCTTTCTTTTCTATCTTTTCTTTATCATGCCTGGACTCCTACAAGGAACGGGGGAATTAGGTGGGGAAGGAAAAACCAAGCATAAAAATCAGCTCAAAAACTCATTTCAACACTGACCTATTATATATTTTTCTTTAAAGGCTTACTTAATATGACAACCGAAAGCACAAGCGACAACAAAAACAAATTGGACTTCATCAAAATTAGTAACTTCTATGCATCAAAAGATGCTATCAAAAAAGTAAAAAAAAAAAACCATAGAGAATGGGAAAAAATATTTGTAAACCATATATCTGGATAAGGGTCTAATATCCAGAATATATAAGGAATTCTTACAACTCAACAACAAGACAAACACAACAAATAAAAAATGGCAAAGGACCTGAATAGGTATTTCTCCAAAGAAGATATACAAATGGCCAACAAGCATATTTAATAATGCTCAGCATCACTAGTAATTAGGGAAATTCAAATCAAACCCATAACAGGATACCATTCATTTTCACTAGAATGGCTACTAGAAAAACAAAATAGAAAATAACAAGTGTGAGCAAGGATGTTAAGAAACTGGCACCCTCATACACTGCTGGTGGGAAAGTAAAATGGTATACAACCAAGAAACCAAACTCACTGCACTCTAGTGGACTCTGACTCATAGCGACCCTATAAGACAGAGTAGAACTGCCCCCACAGGGTTGCCAAGGCTGTAATCTTTACAGAAGCAGATTGCATCATCTTTCTCCTGTAGAGTAGCTGGTGGGTTTGAACCACTGACCTTTTTGGTTAGCAGCTAAATGGTGTAGCCTGAAAATGGTGTAGCCACAGTGGAAAAGTTCGTTGGTTTCTCAAAAAGTTAAACATAGAATTACCATATGATTCAGCAATTCTCCTCCTAGGTACATACCCAAGAGAACAGAAAACAGGTATTCAAACAAATACTTGTGCACAGATGTTCACAGCAGCACCATTCGCAACAGCCAAAAGGTGGAAACAATCCAAATGTCCATCAACTGATAAAAGGATAAATAAAATGTGGTGCTGTGATGGCACTGTGGTTAAGGCATTGGGCTGCTAACCAAAAGGTATACAGTTCGACCCCACCAGCCACTCCATAGGAGGAAGATGAGACAATCTATTTCTGTTAAGATTTACAGCCTTGGAAACCCAATGGGGGGCCGCTATGAGTCAGAATCAACTCAATAGCAGTGGACATGGGCATACATACAGTGAAATATTATTCAGTTATAAAAAGAATGAAGTACTGATACATGCTACAACATGGATAAATCGTTATGCTAAGTCAAAGAAGCCAGGCACAAAAAGCCACATATTATGTGATTGCATGTCATACTGAACATCCAGAATAGGTAAACCCATAGAGACGGAAAGCAGATTAGTGGTTGTCAGGGCTGAGAGAAGGAAGTAATTGGGGAGTGACTGCTTAACAGATAGAGTTTCCCTTTGGAGTGATGAAAAGGTTTTGGAGCTAGATAGAAGGGATAGTTGCACAATACTGTGAATTTACTAAATGCCACTAAACCATACACTTTATTGAAAATGTTTATGTTATGTGGAATTTTACCTCTATTAAAAATAAACCTTACAGCCTCTTTTAAAGTATACAGAAATTTTAAAACGTTCACCTTATAACTTTCTAAAACTACTTTTTATGATCTGTGAATATGACGTCTTTTATATCCTGATAATGCTTTATAAATACTAGACATTTACATTTTAATAATGATTTGCTTACTTTATACAAGGTACAGGATATCTATTTTTAATAACATCCAAGCAATATACTATGTTAGTATCTAAGAGAATGCACCCTACAGTTAATTTTAAAATCAAATACAAATTGCAAATATGTGAATTTATTAGAAAATGTTATTTAAATACATTTAAAATCATGACTAAGAAGACTTTATGACACTGTGATAGTCCAGGAGAATACATATTTTGATCTCATAAATAAAGAAAAACTAAAAGCAGAAAATTGGTGGAGAAAAAAGAAAATACAAAAAAAAGCCGAAACTCAATGTATGGAAATAAGTGGGAGTGGAATGGAGAGGAAAGTAATTTCTGAGGTCAGCTCCAACCCTGCTGGGAATTTGGAACCAAGCTGGACCAGTCCCAGAAACAGATAACCTGCCCTTTCTCAATGTCTCTTTTTCCTCCACCCAAATAATTAACAAAAGATTGTTTTGACTAGGAAAATATTAAAGATTTGCGAAATTTTTAAGAGTTGATTTTTTTAAGAAAAAAATATATTTTTCTTTTCTTTTCCTAATTTACCTTTTTGCCACCAGAAGAGATTTTATCCATCTTTTCAGATTTAAATGAATCACCGCCTTTTTCTTTGCCTGAAGACTTTGACTTATTTTTTTCCTTGTCTTTCTCATTTGGATAAGGAGACTCACATGGACTTTCACTTTTGTGTTTTGAAACTCCCACTAAAATTGCAAAAGAGAATCATGAAAGCCTTTTCCAATTCAGTTTGATGATTGCTTTGAAGGTATTTAATAAGTCTACCTACTCGTTCCATTTTCCTCTTTACGCCTCTTGGTTAAGTCCGGTGGCACTTCACGGTCATTGTTTGAATGATCCTAGAACCAAGAATTGTGAACTACATTGATCAAGGGTTTATGCTTTTGTTTTAATGTATTACTTTTACACTAGATGAGCACAGCTAACTAGCACTGGAGAATATTTGTGGTAGTTTCACATAGTTGGTAAAACACATGAAAGGCAAGCGGAGCTGGTAGAGATTACTAGACTGAAGATTCTTGTTACTGTAGAAGTTTCAGACACGCTTTAGGGGTAAAATGCCAGGTAAAATACTAAATAAGAGACTGCTATGGAACAAACCAGTATTAAAAAATAAAGGCAACAAGCATGCTACTGTACATGATAAGTTTTCCAAACTAGTTTAAAAAGGTTACAAACCCTTTTCCGTTCTTTCCTGTCCTTTTCATCTTTTTTCTCTCTCTCTCTGGATCTTTCCCTTGACTTCTCCAAATCTTTCTTGTCCATTTCTCTCTCCTTACTCTTGGATAGTGGTGCAGGAGGAGTATGATTAATGTAGAGCTGTTAAATTAAGGCAATATTACTAAAGATTATTAGTTTTCTGGTATTGGCATTATTTGTTTATTTATTTAATGAAAGACGACTGGAAGTTAGACCCAAAGGGAAAACCGGTCAGCTGTCTGGATTACAAGAGGTAAAAGAAAAAAACTATGACTCGAATTATGCAAAGCTTCAATGTTTTTCCTTTTAAAAATTTTCATCTAAACTCAATCAGTTCACTACTGCCTCAACTGAGACTCAGTAAATTCATAAGCTAGAGTACTCACATCTCTAAATAATCACAGGAATTTTAAGCAGTTACACTGTCCACTGATAAGCAACCAACGATGACAGCAATCAAAAGATATAAAACAGGACCTAGCCAGGAATCTACTAAAGGTCATTTTTTTCCACCTCAGCATAAACCACGCATAGATTTGCCTAATTTTTTTTTTTAACAAAGGTAAAGGCAGCATATTCTCTGCTTCAACTGACAGTAAGATTTATCTTAATGGTTCTAAATAGTTCCGAAAACCATCTAGTCATTTTCAGCTTCTGAAGACAATGAAAAATCTCAGACTGAAAATGATGACCGAATGTAATGTTCTCCTTTACCAATTCTGTCACTGCCAAAAGACCCACAGGCAATGAAATGACCAAAGTTCAAGGAACCTGGATATTCTAGCTCTGAAGAACTGAGAGATGACCCTATTTATATGCAAGTTGTAAATCTGGAAATCCATTATATAAAAGGAAATATTTAGGAAGTAATCAGGAAATAATCAGATATCTAACCTTAAGGCATTTAGAACTATGCCACAAGCTTATGTTTAATGTAAGATACTACAAGTATTAGGCAGCAGGTACACTAACTATAACTCATTATATAACTACACAATTCTAGATATACCTTAGGAATGAATTGAGTAGTGAATCAAAAGTCAAATATTTGTACACGATGAAATCCTTTGGTATTCAAAGGAATACATGAAAAAAAGATTATCAGTTTGAGAATTAAGAAACACTTTTTTTTTATTTATTGTGATTTGGGTGAAGATTTACAGAGAAAATTCACTTTCCATACAGCAGTTCACATATACTTTGTCTCACGTCATTGACCACAGTTTACCACAATGCAACAGCTCCCCTTCTCACTTCCTCCCCATAGTTACCTCTTCCCAGTGACCATCCCTCCATACTCTCCTGTGCCCTGAGCTGTCTCCCTGTGCATAAGCAGCCCTTCCTTCTCCCATGATTGTTCTCTCCAGGGCGTGTGTCTACTTGAGGTAAATGTTTAACTCACATGCCTGTACTTTGTTTGGCTGGAAACCACAGATGTGGGTTCAATTCCAGACCTGAAGGGCAGCTAGGGGCCATAGTCTCAGTGGTTCCACCAGGCTCTATTGGACCAGCAAACCTGGTCCCCACCTTTTTTTTTTTTTTTTTTTTTTTTAAGAAACACGTATTTTTCAACACCATCAAACATTTTCAATTCAGTGGGTTCAGAAACACTGCTATTGCAATGCAGAAGTAGTCTTTAAATTTTAATGTTTAAAAGCTGATGAAATACACAAAATGTTTATTAATTACAAAGAGCAAGAGAATAAGAAACAGTCAAAAGTGCTTATCCAAAAGATGCTCTTGCCGATTATGCCTTAAATAAGACTTTAATATCTCTAACTGTGAGGTTTATTCATGTCTCAAGTTATTATTAGTTATGAAACTGATAAAAGAAATATTACTGTAATACTCAAAGAAGAATTATCTAAGTATTGCTTAATTTCTCCCAATGAAAGAAAAAAAAAAAAGGATTGTGGTTACAAATGCATACACACAACTCTATAAGAAGGAAGCGTTGAAATGTGCCTGACTTGCATTCCGTATTAAAGAAATTGAAAAACCTTTTCTGGGACTTCTGGCATTAATGTTCAAATAATTATTTCATTCTTGCCCTGAAGACTCAAATAGCTCAATTAATACACAATCAAACATTCTCAGTTTACAAATGTCCCCACTTCTTTTACTACTTTTACCCTTCTAAGAATACCTCTGATCACAATACTCTTTTCCACAAAAACATACAGCCTCTTAGTCATTGTCTACTCAATAAAACATAACAATCTTTAGCTTGGGACTTCTACGTTCTCCCCAATCTTTTCATAATTGCATATATATAGCAACTCAATACACTCGGTGCTAACACCACCATTGTTCCCTAACACCCTCCACTTTCCATCAGTTCTCTTGACCAGAAATGGTCACTCAGTTTATCTTACTTTATCTTGTGTGAATTCTTATATTACTGTACTTTTGGCTTTTTTGTGGCAGGTATTCTGTATTAATTTCACGTTCATTGTTTTTTGTCCATAACATAGCTTCAGGTATGGTAAAGGAGCTAAGTGCCTTTTCCGTTTTTATACATAATATAATAATACATGTTTGCCAAATAAAAGAACTGACTCATTAAATTCATTTGTGGTCAGAGCACTATTGGATTTTTGTTCTTGATTTGCATTTATTTCTAACACCGGGATCAGTAAGTCTAAAAAAAGAATGTGACCAATTTTCAAAATCTAAGAGAGCACTGCCACAGTGACTTCATTTAGATTGCAATACATAAAAGTAGCTTCACTTTTCTAGACTTGGGTCTGTCTGTAAATCCTTATTTTAAGATGGTCAATAGAATTAAAAGCAAAATTCTGTCTTAAGATGCTACCCTCCTGAATTACAGAGAGGTTTGGTTAGAAGAACATGTTTTTAATACTTTTTTCATTAAGTTTAAGTGCTAAGATTAGTAGGTCAAAACATAACTGATCCTCAAGGAGGAAGTGGGAAGAGTGCTATTACACTGTAGAGACTGCAACTAGTGTCTCCGACAAAATGTATATAAACTGCTGAATGAAAAACGAATTTGCTCTGTAAACTTCCACCCAAACCATAGTAAAATGTTCCAAAAAACTCAGGACATTATGAAGAAAGAACTCGTACATTAAGGGGAGATAATAGAAAAAAAATTAGACATTAGGGAAAAAACTGATCAAAACTGGAAATATGTCAGTTGGAAATTGGGAGTAGACAATGAACTGACCCCCCCCCCAAAAAAAATGATTTGAATACTAAGCTAGATTCTGGTCCCTTTAACTAACCCCACTTTAGAAGCTGAATCCATGTATTACTTTTTATCTTAGATTAGAAAGTGAA